GGACCAATCAAGTATGAGCATCATGGAAATTGAATCAACCCGACCGTGCTTCAACTCGTCAGGTCACCCGGAAGACAAGATCCCCGGCTGCAAAGCTTCTTTTGGGCCTTCCTCAAGTTCGCGCCAACTGTCGCGAATCGGCCCCCGCGCATTCCGAGCAGTGTCTATTCTCCCTCTTCCATAAGAGAGAGAGCCTGCGCGCCCATCATCGACCAGCAGTACACCAGCAATAACATAGACACGAACTACACCATGGCTGGACAGAAAAAGGAGGTCGCATCGAGCGCCCCGCCCCATGGCTACCACTTTGGCGGACCGTAAGTTTTACCCAAGAAAGACGAGGCAGAATGTGATTGACAATCTCTAGTTGGGGTACTGCCGGCGTTTCTACCATCCTCCCTATTGTCGTGTACGCCCTCGCATTCGCCTGCAACGACGTCTCCGGCTGCCCTGCCCCCTCTCTCCTTGACCCGAAAAATATCGACTTGGCGCAGCTCAAACGTGAGGTTGGATGGCCAGAACAAGGCGTTTGGGGCCTGGGTAGTATTAACGCTACTCTGGCCGTCGTTGGCTACTTCTTCTTCAACGCCCTACTGTACCGGTTCCTTCCTGCTCAGGAAGTAGATGGTGTCGTACTGGCCACCGGCGGCAAGTTGAAGTACAGGTTCAACTGTATGTTGTGTTTCCATTCCTTCTACTAAATCACCGAATTCTAATTAAGCTCAGCCTTTGCATCCAGCATGTTCATCGTTGCGATCCTCGCCGCCGGGACTGCCCTTGAGGGTGCCGACTGGGCTCTCTGGGTCTACATCTCCGACAACTATATACAGATTCTCACGGCCAATATGATTTTAGCGTTTGTTATTGCCACCTATGTCTACATCCGCAGCTTCAGCGTCAAGCCTGGGAATAAGGAGAACCGCGAGCTTGCCGAGGGTGGCCATTCAGGCAACCTCATTTACGACTGGTTCATTGGCCGCGAGCTCAACCCGCGCGTCACGATCCCAATCATTGGCGAGGTTGACATCAAGCACTGGATGGAGGTCCGCCCTGGTCTTCTCGGCTGGGCCATCCTCAATCTTGCCTGGATCGCCAAGCAGTACCGCACATTTGGCTTCGTTTCCAACAGCATTGTCTTCATTTCGGCCATTCAGTTCCTCTACACGGTAGATTGCTGGTGGAACGAGCCTGCCATTCTGACGACCATCGACATCACCACCGATGGGTTCGGCTTCATGCTGTCCTTTGGCGACATTGCATGGCTTCCATTCGTCTACTCTATGCAGACGCGGTACCTGTCCATGTACCCCGTGTCCCTGAACGCCTTTCAGGTGACTACCATTGGAGCTACCATCTGCCTGGCCTATTACATCTTCCGTGCCTCCAACAACCAGAAAAAACAAAGTTCCGGCACCAACCCCAACGACCCCAGCGTTGCCCATCTCAAAGTACATTGAGACCAAGGCTGGCACTCGCCTTCTCATCTCTGGCTGGTGGGGTGTCGCCCGCCACATTAACTACCTCGGCGATTGGCTTCAGGCGTGGCCCATCTTCTCTTCCCACAGGCATGTCGGGTTACCAGATTTCTGACTGCGGGGTTCCCGGCCTAGTTGGAGCAGGGGCGTAGAGGGTGCCTTCCAAGACTCTTTGACGGTTCGTGGAGGTTGTACCAAGGTACTACTCGCGGCCTGGGGCCATTCCTTATTACGTACTTTCTACGTGCTTTTACTTCCGCGATCCTGCTCATCCACCGCGACGGCCGCGACCGATGACAAAGTGGCGCACGTAAAGTACGTGATGACTGGGAGAAGTACAAGAAGATTGTCAGGTGGAAGATTCTTCCTGGCGTGTATTAGGCGGTACGGGTCTCCCATCAGTCTGCATACTTCGGTCCTTTTCTTCACGACCCATGACTTCAGACTGTGGGGTTAGGCTGCGCGTCCGGGCGTGATAGCGGGTTTTGACATGTCACAAAATCACGGCTCGCCAGGCCTGGGATCTTGGGACCCAAGCCCGGATGGCGGACACTGTGCCATGCGGAGTAGAGGCGCAGATGTAAAATTACATTACTCAATAAACTTGGTAATACGTTCAAAAACTGTTCTTGAACCAAACTTGTTGAAATCCACCAAACCCAACCATCTAAATGAAGGATTTGCGGACATGGTGATAATCCGAATATCATGAACCCTGCTGGATTCTGCAGCTCAAGTGACCAGCTTGGGAAATAGAACTATGACTACAATTAAATCGTACACAAATGAGGGCCTATGACACTACCACACGTCCACCAGGGCGGGGAAGGTCTGCGTGGTGTCTCTTGGCTAACAGGCATTAAAGCACCTACTTGCTTCTGGATTGTGTGATTTTCACTTGAACGGCCCGACCGCCGCGTGGGCACCGCGTACGCTAACGGTTGAAGAAGGGAAATAGCTGCTTGACTACCGGGACCAGTCAGCCACTCCATCTTCCTACCCCGCGATTGATGCCACGGCGTCTCCATGTAAGCCGGACCTCGGTGTGGGGAAGAGAGAAGAAATCGTGGTTGGCCGTTAAAATGAGGGTTGAGGGCTCTTGATCGACCGTTCAGGATGTGGGTGGGACATGGCGGTTGGAGGTTGCAGCGGGTGGCTTTCAGCGTACAGAAGAGGCTCAGATGCGAGTGTGGGAAGGGAGAAGAGGGGGCAAGGTCATTCGATATACAGTGGAGCACTGTCACCTTGAAGGTTGCGTCACGCTGAGGCTGGAGCTGAGGTCATCGTTCCGAGTGAGGCGGCCTGGTGAGTGAGCATAGCCGCAAGCTTGATCCAAGTATGCGGCTTGGTGTTCACCAGCCGCTATTCGGCGTGATTACAAGCGTCAAAAAGATGCTTCTCAAATGCAGTCAATCTGGTCCAGCTCCTGCAAGAAACACGAGGCATTTGCAGCTGACTTAGAATCAATTGAGACGCTGCCCAAACCCTCCATCTCAAGACAATCTCCTTGTTGTCGAAAGAAGGAAATTAAGCCTGTCATTGCTTTTGCAACTCCCTGGATCCGGTAGTAGTGTGTTGCTTGCTTGTGCTTCAGCTCAACCTTTATCCCCCTTGGCGAGCCACGCCTGTACTCCCATAATGGGGCACAATTGTCGGTGTTTTTGTCCCAGCACTGCCCGGTGCATGCATGAACAGCGTCCAGCGTTGCATTCGTCGGCTTGGGTCCATCCAATATGGTGCCATGAAGTCATGATATCCTGTGGGAGGGCTCGAGACTCGAACAAAACTTTGGGGGGAGGGGGGAGCTCCATTCTCCCCCGCACTGGTCGGCTAAGGTACCCATCGGTTTTTGCGAGACGCGCACTGGCCGGCACTTGCCAGTGACGGACAAGGTACCTCCTGCAGCGCCAAGCTGAGCAGCCGCAATAAGTGTCTTTGATGTCGTCCAAACACCCTGCACCCCTCTCCCGTGTGCGTCAACATCGTCACTTGCTCACCACTTTGAGCGGCGCCCTTGTCGATCATCACTTCACCACTGCCACCTTACTCCCTATTACCCAGTCCTTCCCACCATCTGAGTCGGTTCAATCTTGCATCTTGATCGGCCCTTTTCTCCTCATGGCCTGTCAACACGAGCTGTCTCGCGCCTCGAGACTGGCTGCCCGATATGGCCGCCTGCAGAGACCACACGCTGTGTTCCCATGGCTCAGTGCCCCCCCAACATGGCTTCTAGAACCTTACTTGTGATCGCCAGTCCTTATTTGCAGCCGGCTGCGAATTAACTGAATACTAGCCGTCCATTTTACGTGGTTCTCAGGCCCACAGCCTCCGAAGGACTGAGTAGCGAGCCGAATCCTGCCCGGCACTTGGGCGTGTTTCGATATAATCGTCAGGCCCGCCATCGTGTTTCCATCCACTCCGCAAAGATGAACCAGGTTGTTTGGCATCCGACTTCCCTTTGCTGCCGCACCCATATCCACCTGCCATCCCTGACCAAGCTCTCCTTGTTCTCCCACCATCCTTGCCCAAGGTAGTCCCCCTCAACCCGGAATATCCGAAGTTGCCCAGCATTAGGTTATAAGGCCAGTCTTCCTCGGCTGCCTCTCAGATCTTGACGACCTGGGTCTTCAGTAGCCACGCCCGTTACAACTTGAGACCCTTGCAAAGCAACTACCCGCGACTCGACCTTTTCCTATCAGATAAGATTGCGACGGATCTAAGTCTGCCTTTACCCGATGGTTGTATAAGGTACTCTAGATATTGAGCATCATTGGACGACCATTGCCCGGACTGCAAGCTTGACCGATACCATGAAGCTGGCCATCGCTACTGCTTTGCTGGCAGCCAGCGGGTGTGTCTCTGCGGGACAACCCAAGCTCAAGGTACGTACTTGCCTCTTTTCACGAGGAAACCAAGCCTGCACCGTAACGGCGATTGAGTAGTCGTGCTTTCCTCAACCCGAATCAACCCCAGGGTACCCACACCGCATTTGTGCTTTCCCTTTTGATCCTCTGTTCTATGTGAACCCACGCTCTTCAAACATTCGACATAGCACCACTTCATCTTCGTTTTCGAGCAATATCCAGCCGCAAAGAGCGGGCTTTCACTTCATCACAATCGTTCATGTCTCGTGCCCGAGTACCATGTTTCTCCCCAGTATTCTACTTTTAAGAGCCTTGACCCCCGTTATCGACATCTCGTCACCAAGCCTCGCCGACACGGACTCTGTTTCCCTTGGAATTGACATTCGATCCAATGCTGACCAGTATCCTCAGCGCCAGGCTAACAGCTCTAGCGAGCTCGCCTTTTCCCCTCCGCACTACCCTTCGCCATGG